AGAGATGGATCCACCATAGGGAGGTTTGGTGTGGCAGACCTTGGCCGCCCTGGGGGCGGGTGGGAACGCGGTCGAAGACGCGTCTACTGTGGTTCCCACGGGGTCAGGCGTGACGCCTACAGGCGGGCTGTCAAACTTTAGCAGCCATTCTGTCCGTGCCCCCCTCCGCTTATTCTGAAGTTGTCTTGCCGCCGAGGCCAGGTGATTGAGGGAGGGAAGAGAATGCGATAGATGCTGCTCAAATCTGTCTCACTATAAACTATTTCACGTGCAAGCCATCACTCTGCGCCCACACTATGGAAGAAACTGAACGTCATCGTTCGCGACCACCCAACTGTCATAACTGTCGCACTTCCGGTTAATCAAGCAGCGCACTTGCAAAAGGCTGTAGTGACAACTACCTGGCGACTAACCAGTCTATACTGCGTACTTCTTTGTTTTTTCGTCGATGAGATTTCTCATCTTACTTTATGTACTGGTCTACAGACCAAACCTCACATGCTGCAGGTGGCACCGCTTTAAAAACTGCATTGATTGTTTGGCTGGGCGAGCCCTTAAATTCCTTCAATCCTTTATTGCAGTGATGCTGTTCTGATCCAGTTAGGCTTTTGCTGTCGCCCAGATCCCACCCGAAAGACATGTAGGTGGTACCGGTGTCTCCAAGAGCAGACAGATTTTAGACGTCCAGAACGTCCAGAATGTTTTATTGCCTTTCAACATCGTAGGTTTTAGGATTGTAAAAATTCGCATAGGAGGATTTAAAAGGCCAGTTGGCAAACATACGTGCGCTCGTCAATTGCTCAGGTAAGCTCGGACCTAGATTATCGCACGACGGTGTTCTGGTTAACTTTCTCCCTTTTTCTGTCATATGTGATGGCTTAAGGTAACGCTGTCCATGCTATGCATTGACATTCTGCGTAAATTAAAACTGCTGTGTGCTTCCATCTATTATCGATGTCACTCAAAGGCGGGTTGCAGTTGATAAGCCGTCAAAAAATTGTTAGGAACCAGTGAGTCCTGCTGTACCCCTATCTTAAATTCATTTACGGAAAAAATGCTCAATTAATTAGTAATGCTTCAACTAAGTAGGTTGTTTCTCAGTCATAACAGACTGTGGAAAAGTTATCAGAAGTTCGACCCCGTTTGGCCGTGTGCTGTGTGAGCTTTCAGTGCACTTTTTAAGTACGACCAGATTTGTAGTTTGTGGATGTTTTTTTTCTAGATTCTGTATTGCCCTGCTATTTAACTGGTGTTTCCTTTCAATTGCTCTTTCCAGACCAGACAATTTATCCCCCTGGAGGTTAGATGCTCGTGCAAACTGTCTGGTCGGTACTTTTGGAAGCGGGTGCATGCGTAAGATCGTAGTGGGAGCTGGTGGTCAGGAGGTGCGTTTATTAAACTCCAGTCACCCGAATTTTGTAAAATGGTACATATACTGACTTGATATGTCTGACTGCCTGACTTCTGCATTCAAAACAGCCCGTCAAACCGTGGATCGAATCGGCCTCAATG